GAAGGCAGAAGGAATTATCACTGCCCCTCCAGCCTGCTGCCCATGTTCCAGCACTAGGCAGTCACCTCCATGTTCAGGAGACCTCAAGCAGCCTTGAACTGGCAGCTGAGGATTTCTGGAGTGCTGAAGAAGCCCAAGTTGGCATAAACCCAACATATGCAGCACACCACCACCTGCTCTCTTCACCTTCAGCATAAGGGTGCTCTGAGAATGGGCCCCAGCCAGCCCCAGGGTCACAGAGCACCAAGGGAACTGACTGTCCCTCTGGGCAGCTGCAGCCAGGATAATATCTGAACAGAAGCCACAGTGGATTACGGCACATGTTCTGTTTGTTCATGAAAGGAACAATCCTGGTGGCATGATGTTTCTCTTTCAGTATCTCAGCTGTGTGAGGGAAGTGGGGAAAAAAGCCTTATTTTGTTTTCTATGGATATTTTATTAACAACATGGATATTAATGAGACTGTAATACCCTCTGCAACTCCCTGAGAGGAGGTTGGAGTCAGGTGGGGGTTGGTCTCTGCTCCCAGGCAACAGCAGCAGGACAAGAGGGCACAGACTCAAGCTCTGCCAGGGGAGGGTTAGGTTGGATATTAGGAAGAGATTTTTTGCAGAGAGAGTGCTCAGGCATTGGAATGTGCTGCCCAGGGAGGTGGTGGATTCACCATCCCTGGAGGTTTTCAAGCTGAGACTGGATGTGGCACTTAGTGCCATGGGCTAGTGACCACAGTAGGGTTGGACTGATGATCTTGGAGGTCTTTTCCAACCTGGTTGATTCTATGATGCTATGAAATGTGCCACATAAGCAAAGCCCTCCCAAAATGCAAACCAGTGGAAGTGATGCTCCAAAACATGGAGCATCCTTATCAACTTACGAAACAACCATATGTTTGCTAAGCATTGAATTGCACTCTTACCTTTGAGCTAATTCATAAAGTATTGTAACTTCTGTCCCTATTGATTCTCCTGCAAAGCAGAAACAGCTGATTAAAAACACATCCTGAGAGTTACAATGTTTTCCCCTTCATCTTACTCTATTTAAATACAGAATGGTAAATTAATGACAAATTAGAGAAGCCAACAGATACTCAACACACTGTGTATCTGTGTTAAATGCTGTATGTGAGCAAAACTATTTATAGCTAAGCAGCAAAGCAATAGCTTGTTCTGGAGTGAAAAAAAATTATTAGGGACCACAAGTGCTAGATTTTACAGCCTTGGTGTTGTAGTTAGCATACAGATGTGAAATAATTGTGCTGTAAGGCAAAAGGATTAAGTGGACATGCCATTACTTCTTCAATGAAAATCATGTAAGTAAAATTCTATAAAAACAATTCCATTGCACTTGGATTTTGTCCACCCAGAGCCAGGCTAAGCAGTTATCTCTAATAAAGGGGGGCACACAGGATTTAGCCTGCAGTGTTCTCTCTGGAACTGTGTATGAGCACAAGCACAGGAGACCTGGACTCAGACACTAATCTGCGTAAGGAAATGAGTTTTGTGGTGTCACCTTGGCTTCTCCTGCTTGAACACTTTTTGTGCAATTAAGCAAAAGTGGCAGGAAAGGGTTGCACAGCTGAAATTTCAGGGGAATGAACTGAAGGTCAGGATGGAAATGCAGAGACAGACGGTTGTTTATGCTGCTTCTTTACAGTCAATTCTTAGCACACTGGATGTTCTTTACAACCCTACAAACATCATTTTATTTTAATGTGTGATTCAATGCAACACCATTGTGTTAGATATATTGAATTGTCTCAGTTGTCAGGGACTTTTCAGAGTATATAGGATACCATCTGTTGGTTTAAAGGCATTTAATGTTTATTCACTACAGTCTTCTCATTTGCAATGCAAGGAATCTCTGTAGCCACCGAAATCGTTGAATACACTCAATCTTTTATTACCCTGCTATGACACACTGGCTGTAATGCCTTTTGCTCATCTACAGCTGCTTTATATGAGCAATCAAAACTGCAACATGCTGCTGAGATCTTTAATGAAAGGCAGCACACAGATCACGGCGTGGCTGGGCCCTGAAGAGGGCTGAACAAAGTCATCTTCCAGAGCCAATTTCAGGAGGATGTTGGGGGTCAGAGTCCTTATTTCAGGTGCCTCGAGTGTTTCACTGAAGATATCAGTTTTGCAGCTGACATCAGTGGAAGTATTGCTGCCTGTTTGGGTCAGCAAGAGCAATACTTATGAGGCCAGGGAAAGGTTTTTCTTGCTGAATTACTCCTGACAGCATCCCTTTTCCATCCCTTCTGTGCTACTCTCTTCAGGCTACAGACTGAAGGCAACACACAGGACGTGCTGCAGGACGTGCTCTTCCTTCAGGTGACAAATGTTGACTTTGATGCTCATTTCCCAAAACATGGCAGCAGTTTAGCTCCCTTTTATACAAGACAGGGTGCATTTCTTCACCAGCAGCAAGATGCAGGTCCCTTAAGAACATCACAGAATAGTTTAGCTTGGAAAAACCTCTTAGCTCATTGAGTTCCCTTTAACTAGAAAGGAAACAACACCCTTCCCATTTCGAGAACGTTAATATATCTGACAATAAGCACAAAATATTATTACTTACCATAGAGGAATTTCATTTCTAGCTTCTCAAACAACAGCACACTCTGATTCAGCTGCTCACGGAAACCTTCAGCAACATAATAATCTACATCACTGGCTTGGAGCAGCTCCTCAAAGGCTTTCACCAGGTTTGTCAGGTGCTGATGGTAAGCGACGCAGCCACTGCGAATCTCCTTAATTTGCTGGCATTGAAAGGAGAGTTCTCGAGCTTGGGAATGAACTAATGAATCATATCTGAGGAAAGGAAATTATCTGTAATTTTCTGGCCATAAATAACATTTCAATATAAATAAGAAGTGAATTAAGCTTCTATTCCTAAACTGTAATTTTATGTGACTCAATTTGCTTTTACAGCCACAATGAGAAATGGATTGTCAAGTGTTGAGCTTGGTATTTATGGGCGTAACTTGTGGGTTATTCTCCTTCACTTAACTGCTTCTTTTACAAGATGGGCCAAAACTAAGGTGGTGACTTGATGGTCTGCTTGGAAAGAACATGGATGGCAGCAAAGGTGCCTAATTAAATAATTTCAACTCAGATCAATTGCATTTATTTACTGAGTTTGCACTTGCATCTCCTTTATGCTGCCACTGCCTGTACCAGGTAAAGTTCTCTCTACAGAATCAAATATTAGTGGAAAGAAACAGAGAGAGGATCTGAAAAGATTCAGGGAATCAGACAAAATGTGTGATGGTGTGGGCTGTTATAGAATTTTTATTGCCATTTGTATAGGAAGAGATGTATTTTTTGAGTCTGTCACTTGTGACTCATGATGCTGTCCTAGACAGTGGCCATAAAAACCTCACAGCAATCCACACTGTCTCATTCTTTATTTTACAGTTAGGTCTTCCTTTGTAAAATGGATGAGGTATATTTTCAAGGTATGTAAATTTATATGGACTATGTAGCACAACTGTATTTTACAACAGGAAGACAGAGAGATACAATAGTCCACGTTGGTGGGTGCTCAGTGTCTCCAAGTATTTTTACTCAAGCACTTGGAAGGAAGACACAAGGTTGAATCCTTTTGTTTGTTACTTTCTGGCATTCTGCAGGCCCTCAGGACAGCACCAATATTAGAAGGAGAAAAAGGAGGGGTGAGTGTTAAAAAAGGTTTGGTCTTATGGGTCCCCATTCTGGGCCTGTGATTTGTACATACATAGCCAAAATGCTGCCCCCAGTCTTATGCAAAAACCTGATCCTTCCCAGCCTCCCATAAAGGATTTTCCAGCTTATGAGCTTATGCTATAAAATTTCATTCATTAATTTCTACATATATCTACTTTCCCATCCTTCCCAGGAAGGCACCACGGCACTCAACTGCGAAATGCGTCGTAACTAGAGCATAAACCTCTGATTTTACACATAAAGTCTGTTCACACAAACAGAAGGGCCAGGATGACTCTGCCAGCCAATTGCCCATGCAAACATTCCTGTCTTAAATGGGAGGCTCTATTTTCTTACACTTGTCACCTGAAAAACCCCTGAATGATGCAAAACTGAAATAGTTTGGTTCCAGAGGTCAGAGTGTCTCACAGGGAACAAGAGGAGCTGTGAGTGCTCACGAGAGGATGTCCTGCAGCAAAGAGAGTCATGGACTTGAGATGTGGGGAAAGACAAAGGTACTTGGCACAGGGTAGTTACAGATGATGATATGAGCTTATCAGGGGCAGATCTGTTGTAGGAAAACATTGGTTTTGTACTTTGAGGTGTCTTTTAACTCAACTTCTCAGTTACTTTATGCTAATGTTAGTAAATTTAGCCTTGGCTAGAACAACACACTTATGTGAATAAAATGACCTTCACATTACCTTCCTATGCTATTTCATATTGCTGTTTAGAAAATGGAACCTGAAACAGCAACAGCTTTACTCACTTGGATGATGTTTCTCCCAGTCTGCTCTGAAGGTGACACACTTCATCAAGATGAATATTTGCAACTCGCTCTTTTTCAAGTTCTGCCTCATTTGCCAACAGCAGCTCCTTAAGGTTCTGTGCTGCCCATGTGTCAGGTGCTTTCAAAGACTCTGAATTCCTCTTTTCAGTGTGGATCTCATAATCCATGTGATGGACTTTAGAAAGTGTTTTGATTTCTTGTGTATCTGTGTCTTGCACTTGTGTTACCAACCCTTCCCCGGGCAAGGCTGCATCACTCCCAACTCCATTGGGAACACCACTAAACAGGAGCTGGTCAGAGGTCTGCAACTGAAACAGGAACCTTTTGTACTTTTCAAGCTCAGACTTCATCTTCTTAACTCTTTGTTTCAACTCTTCTATATCCTCTATGGCTTCACAGTCATCGGGTGCATCTGTACTTGGTACACTCAGCTTGGGAGAGCACAGGAGCTTGGAGCCTGAACATGCAGTGGCTGAGTCAGTGTCCTCCTGTTCCATGGAATAACACTCCTCATCCATCTCTTCTAATGAACTCTGGCTATTCCCATTGCTAAGGTTATGATGATTTTGCATTTCTGAAAAACAGGAGGCTTATGTGTGAATATTAATATTTCTTTATCTGTCATTCTGTTCCTAACAGCACCAGAATGAGTTCATTTAATTCTGTAATAGCAGAATATAAATGCAGATAATTACAAGCTACACAATATTACTTTGGGACTTTTGACCTCTTTCTGTGATTTGCCCATTAATTCAATTTGCACACCAAATATTTCAAAGCCTTTACCACCTTTCAAATAAACAATACTCAAAAAACACCCACATGATCGAAAATTCCTTTTGCTATATTAGACACTGATGAAGCTCTTTCCAGCCACAAAGATGATCATAGAATCATAGAACCAACTGAAAAGACTTCCAAGATCACCAAGTCCAACCCTACTGTGGTCACAGGACCATGGCACTAAGTGCCACATCCAGTCTCAGCTTGAAAACCTCCAGGGATGGTGAATCCACCACCTCCCTGGGCAGCACATTCCAATGCCTGAGCACTCTCTCTGGAAAAAATCTCTTCCTAATATCTAACCCACTCAATCCCCTCATCCAAATCATCAACAAAGATATTAAAGAGAACTGGGCCCAACACTGACCCCTGAGGAACAGCACTAACCTCAAACATGAGGCACTGAGATAGACTCTATGACTTTACATGGCTCTTTCTAAAGCTTCCAATTAAATATTCTCCTTCTCCCTTCAAAAATCTATACAAAACCAATTGGAGCATAAAGTCGGTGGAATTTTTAAAAGATTATCAACAAAATAGTAAAATTTGAAGAAGGGGCTTTAATTTATTTTTAAAAGGGCACTAACCTCAAACATGAGGCACTGAGATAGACTCTATGACTTTACATGGCTCTTTCTAAAGCTTCCAATTAAATATTCTCCTTCTCCCTTCAAAAATCTATACAAAACCAATTGGAGCATAAAGTCGGTGGAATTTTTAAAAGATTATCAACAAAATAGTAAAATTTGAAGAAGGGGCTTTAATTTATTTTTAAAAGGTGTCCTAAACCAAACTCATTAAACTGTTTGGTGTTAAAGGTTTTATTGGCACGTTTGGCATGCACATCACATCCCTCAGGGGATTTTGTCACTCCTGAGCAATGCCATCACCCCAGTTCAGCCCAATAAAAGCCATATATTCCTCCACATAACCCATGTTTACAGCTCTGTGTATGCTGAGGGCTGTATGTGTAAGCAGCTAGCAAGAGGATTATTTTCTAGTTACCAGTAAATTAAATTTTCCCCTTCTATTAGTTCTGCAAAAGATCACCACGAATTAGAACTTCCCTTTTGAGAGCCATTCATTGATCTTTCAGAGGTCTTAATGCTTGCAGATTGGTTTCCTTGGAGAATTCAAACTCTCAGGTTCAGCTCTAAATCAGCACCAAATCTCAGGGGGAACAGCTCTGTATAAAGGCCCAAGTCAAGGCCAAGCACAAGAGAATAAAAGTAAATATAACTGAAAATCTGGAATAAAATGAAGCTGCAATATTAGGATATCATCACTCCCAGAGAAGCTGTGGCTGCTCCATCCCTGGGAGTGTTCCAGGCCAGGTTGGATGGGGCTCTGAGCAGCCTGGGCTGGTGGAAGGTGTCCCTGCCCAGGGCAGGGGATGGGATGAGATATCTTTACAGTCCTTCCAACCCAAACTAGGCAGCGATTCTGATTCCCTGGTTTGAAATCAAGGCTAGAGGATGTTCCCTGCACTACACATTGCTGCACGCCATTATGTGTGTCACTCATAAGGTGACCAAATCAGAGGAAAGAAATGCTTCCAGAAAATGCCTGGGTATGAATTCCAGAAGACACACTGATTCAGGGAATGCAACACTTCACTCATTAGCTTCTCCTCCTTCTCTACCACTTGGTTGCTGCAGTAAGATGATGTCCAAAAACCCAAATACTAGGTGAACTCTGAAATCCTGAGTCCAAGCAAACACTCCAGATAACAAACAGAGAAAATAGAACGTGAACTCTGAAATCCTGAGTCCAAGCGAACCCTCCAGATAACAAACAGAGAAAATAGAACCAGATATTAAGGAAGAAATATCTGTGATTAGAGCACTGGTTATAGTTTTTAATGAACCACTGCCCTTTCATTAGAGGAGGACTAATTAGCTTTCTGTGCATGTGTGTCCACACCCCCAAAGGGCACACATGGAGCATGACCTGCACACCAAAGGATTACAGGATTGGCCACATCCTCTGTACTCTACACAGTGTTAATCAGGTTATTCAAGCCCTTCCAAGAAAGACTAATGGATGATGCAGAAACATGGAAGACACTGTATTAAGCCTATTTACATTTTCATTAAATGATTCCATTAGGTTTCAACCTAGTTGAATGCCTTCAAATAATTCAGATAAGCAAAACTCTATCATTCAACCGCTTCGTTCCAATAGTTCAGAACTAGATGCAGAAGCAATAAGTAACAAACATTAAATTCAGAGAAGAGTTCAGAATTGAGGACATTAGCAACAGAGATCAGAGTCAGGCATACAACTCATTATTTTTCCTGGAAACCAAACTCAAATCTCCCTGCAGCCCTTCTGAAACCACAACCCTTAAAGTCCAACTCAGATTCCTAGAGCAATTAATCCATACAAGCTAAGAAAATAAAACTTAAACCCCAGAAATAATGGCAAGGGAGATGATTACTTGCAACAATTTACAACTTTGCACCACTCAGAAAAAACTAGAGTTTTAAAATCTCCGGTTTTTTTAAATACTCAACCATATAAATGCTCTACCTTGATGGTTCTGCTGATTTTTATTCACTGCATGTTCACTGATGTCCCCTGTGCCTGGATCAACACCTTGCAATTCCACCTGGATCTCACCATTATCCTGTCTAAGCAGCGAGTCAACTGGAGAAAAAAAAAATCAGTTGAGATAATTAAAAAACAAAACAAAACAAAACAAAAACCAAACCACAAAACAAAAACAACAAACAACCCACTAAACAAATCCAAACTTGGTTCTCTGACAATTTGGAAGAGGAAAATCTTTATTGGCTATACGAAAGTGTTTGCACATATTTGTAAAATACTTGAAGTAATCATAAGGATAACTACTGAGAAGGAATTGTAAAGGTTCCTACTAACAAATGAAGACAAACATTTGCGAGTTCTCTTTGTAATGTAACAGTGAATCAATTTTAGTGCATTTTTAAATGGTTTGGTTAAGCTTAGAGAAAAGGCTAAACAGTTTCTCCAATATGAGCATTGATCATAAACTAATCTTCTACAAGCTCCCATTGCAGCAAGTCTCAGAATTCCCAAGTGTGCAGCACAGCTGTGACCCAGGAGGAGGAAATCAGTGTGGAAACAGCAGGACTGAGGCTTCTGATTCATTTCAGGATCCAATCCACAGGTATTGCCCTTCTCAGAATTCTCCATGGATTTTGCACCCAGCAGAATGAATTGTTCCAGTCTCTTTACCTTAAGTACTTACAACAAAGTTGTGCCACATCTGTCCCTTAGCACAACAATGTCATCATGAACAAAGTCCCTGCAGCTCTGTGTCTGATGGGCTCACTCGCCCTCGGCTGAATCTGATTCTCAGTGTGACACTCCCTCACTCATCCTTCACATCTCTGCTCGCTTTTTAATCTCACTGCTAAGTGCAGCTTTATTTTTTTACCACTCCAAATCTTTATCTAATAATACCCATTGCTCTCTGTCTCACAATTTGTCATCCTTTGCTGATCCTGATACTTTGTCAACAACTGAGTCTAAATTAACCCAACCACCCTGGAAGCAAACATGGGTGACTTGACTGAGCAGTGGAATATTGGGAAAACTTCATTATGCAGCATAAACAAATAAGGTATTTTTATCCTCTCCTGTCTCCATCACAGACAGTTTTCATCAGACTTGGCATCCTACAGAGGAAACTTTTCACTTACCTAAACACTGACATCTATGTGTGCATGTGTGAGCACCCTGGGAATGGCATTTATTGCAGACTTTATGCCATTTCTATTGCACAAAAAGCTGGTTGCAGTTTTGTGGCAAAGAGAAAAGAAAAGGGTTGGGTTTTTTTCCAAGATCTTTATGTATTTGCCTACTCAAGAAACTCCTAAGATTCAGCAGCATTGTAGATATCGGAAGATGACCTGGTTTTCCTTTCTCCTACAAGGAAGATGTCACTGCTCCAAGCAACACAAGTCACTGTGTCTGCTCATTATTTACCTCTCTCTGATGTGCTTCCCTGTGCAGGCTCTTCTCCAAGGGTTTCAGCTACAGACTCCTCCAAGAACTCTCCATTAGGTTGTGCCTCAAATGGTTTGGTTTGTACTTCACAAGCTTTCAGACCTTCACAAGGTGCTCTGGTGTGACACTGTGGTTTTGAGTCTGACTTCTGCATCCAGGAGCTCACAGGCACATTTCCTCCTGGTCTGGAGGATTTTAAGAGCACAGGCAAACGGGACTTCTTGGGCAGGTAGGCAGAGGCAGCCTGGAAAAGGCAGGAATAAAATGGGGAGTTGGTAGCTGGCAAGCAACAGTCATACAAAGGAAGTATAAACAAACATTCTGGAGAAAAATTCCTGTCAGAGCAGTCAGCTGTCACGTTAGGTTTGAAAATAAGATACCAATACCCTTGGCTATGTGAAAAAACAAACACTCAGAGAGGCAAAAACCCTCTCACTGCTACAATTTTCTGTAAGTACGAGCTGCTCATGCGTCCCAAGCCTCACAGTGACTGACTTGCAGCTCATGAAGCAAGACAGCAAATCCACCAGTGACCAGCCAAGGCTTTTAACCAGCAGGTGTACTGGTTAGCTCTGAGTTTGTGTCTGCCCTGGGAAAGCAGCTCCTCACCCAAACTGACCTCTCTCACTGCTACTTCCCACTCACACTACTATCATAAATATCTGCCAGCCTGGCAACTACTTCCCTTATATCCCTTTTTTTTCTAAACTTGAGGATTCTCCTCATTTTTCAAAAATTCCTGAGCTTATTCCCTTTCTTCTTTTTGTTTCTACTCAACAGACTTAAATTCCATAACTTTGAGGAAATCAACACAGCTTTGAGCAAATCAACCACAGAGGATATTTATCCTGTCATAGAGAAATTCTTTATGAACAAAAACAGTTTCTTCACCCACACACTCCATAAATGGCTTCTGCAGGATTCCCATTCCTTCCTGAAACAGACATTCTGTCATTAGATTTGGGGAAATCAAGTTTCTTAAGTCACTACATTTTAGCCTCGCTCCCATTCCTTCCTGAAACAGACACTCTGTCATTAGATTTGGGGAAATCAAATTTCTTAAGTCACTACATTTTAGCCTCGCACCTTTTGGAGGCTGCATAAAATAAATGCTCCTTATTTAAACCACACAGCATAAACCAGTGCTATGTCCCCAGAGAGAAAAGCATGCTATGTGCTGAGGAGAGTTATGGAACTGTGGGTAATAATAATAAAAATCAATAATGGCATGTTCAGAGAGATTTAGTTTGGGTTTTTTGCTGTTCATTTGCACTCGGTGTCCCGAGTCCCCTAATTCCCTTCACCACCCAATGTATTCTGAAATACCTTTCCACACTCACTTCTTAGCAATTATAGTCTTCACACCATTTAAAATAAGAAAAAGCAAGTTCCATTTTCCTAATGCCACACTCGATTCCTCCCGTCCATACATGAATACAATATCACTCCCAGGCAGAAAAATAAATCCAGAACCTGCTGCTAACTAAAGTGCATTAATAACACAGAGCCATTTCCAGCTGTCTCAGGGCTGTGGCACAGACACATATGTCACTGAGATTGCCCAAAGGCCAGTTCAGATGGCTACAGCAAAGTATTTATAAAAGCCATTCCAGACCTAAAGATACACTGTGTTAGTCCGGACAAGAAAGCTTTTAAAGCAACTGATCCTGGGATTGCATTGGGGTTACAACTGATTAAACCAGAGAGGAGTCTGGAAAATAGTGAATCAGAACAGTATATTGGAACTTAGGGAAAACAGGACCTTGGGGAAAAAAAAATAAAGAGAATTGCACAAAGAATAATAGAATGGTTTGGGTTGGAAGGACATTAAAGATCATCCAGTTCCACCCCCTGCCATGGGCAGGGACACCTTCCACCAGCCCAGGCTGCTCCAAGCCCCATCCAACCTGGCCTGGAACCCTCCCAGGGATGAGGCAGCCACAAATTTTCTGGTGTTCCTGGAGTCAGTTGCCTGGCTAACACCAACACAGGTGAAAGCACACGCACTCCTTCGGCCTCAGACCAGCCAAGGCACCGAGAAACAGGAGCAGCTATCACTGCACCAACAACCCAATACCAAACAGCCTGAGAACATTAACAACAGCCTGAGAGTATTTATTATTCTCTTTCCTCTCCAAACATAATTGTTTATAAGGTAGATTTACTGCCCATAAGGAAAGCTTGAAAGACTGAGAAGATACCTGAAGACAACTCTGGTAGATTCTACGTGTATAGTTTGATGAAACAAGACACTGTGAATTACTTAGGGTTTGACTTTTCAGGGGTATCATAACCTACTGCTAAGACTGGCATGAACTCTCTAGAGTGTTTGCCAGGCACCAACCATGCATGCCAAAGTTTTTCCCTTAAAATCCCACACTCCACCAGGAGGAATAGAACAAAGCCTTGACAACATCTCTTGGTTTACAACCCCTTCCTTCAGAAAAATGAATCCAAAAAGAACAAGCCAGAATAAAAATGAACTGCTCCTAATTGCTGGCTCACACAAATCTCTTGATCACTCAAGTCATGGAAACTATTCCTTGCAGATGGTGCTACAACATTCCCTATTAGCAGTGCAGAAAATCAAAAGCAATGCTCCCCTTTGTCTGCTCTGCAGGAGCCAAGATCTTCAAAGAGTTTTCAACTTCACTTCTATCACTGCTACTGAAACAATACACAGGAACTCTTTAGCAGACACTGTTTTCCCCACCTCTTTGCTTGGGATCACAGAGTGCCTGCAGACAGAAGGCTTGAAAACTGATTTGGCACCAGCAAGTTGTGTCTGTGCTCACACAACAGATTCTGTGCACTCAGGTTCCAAACCAACGTGACAAACTGCCCCACAGTTTTCTAGTTGTACTTCTGCTCATACTAACAGCAAGGCACGATGAGAAGATGTAATTAAAAGCCTAAAATTAAGAGTGTCTGGAAGTCTCCACTGACTCCTCACCAGCCTCTCCCAGACATGATGCAAGTCTGGAATTTTCCAGGACACATTGGCCATTTAGACCTAATCAACCAGCTCACACTGCTGACCATCAATGCACAAACACAAGGCAGCACAGAATGAGGCCATTATGCTATAAACTCTTTTTCCAAGAGCTGTAATATTTACTAGGATCTAGTCCCGGTGAGGATTGGAATTCAATTAATTAATGTTCCAAAGCACAGTGAAGTATGTGATGAAAAAGCTCTGAACATTAAGAACAATTATCTAAAATATATTTGGCTTACATCTCTTTTTCTAATTTTAAAAGTTACACAAAAGCAAGATTTAATATTAGAAATGAAACATATTTCTCCCTTTTATACATCTATTCCCTAAGTACAGAAAGAGAATAAACTTACTTCACTTGTTCTTGCAAGAAAAAGCCTTTCATGCCGTTCACCCTTCTTATACACATTTTCTTGCTGATGTTCTCTCTCTGCATTTAATCTTGAATATTTTGACTTTTCTTCTGAGGCTCCTTTTTTGCCTTCATGTTTGAATCTCATGACATTAGTCTCTAAAGTCATTGTTTGTGTAGCTGCATCTTTCAATTCCACTTTCAACAACTGAATATCCTTATTAATCTGTGCCACTGCATCTGGATAAAGCTTCTCTTTCCCATCAAAAGTTGATTTCAATTCTACTTGCTGCTTCAAGAATTTATTGACCTGCTTGAAATGTTTGAGTTCAGCTCTTAGTTGAATAACCATTTGCCTAAGATCTTTTTCATCCTTTTTCTCTATGTCTTCACTTGAACATTCTTCCTCTGTCGTGTTCAGATGATCTAACAGTTCATTTACAATTTTCATTTGTTCATGTCTGCTATAGTCAGGAAAGAGGAAAGAAAAGGCATGAATTCAGGTTCTTATTTAAGCAAACAAAAATACCTTCTAAGAAACTCTTCTGCTGTGTCGTGACACGTTTGAAATCCCGAGGAGGTTCCTTCTACTCACTAATGAATTACTCACTAATGATCAGAGTTTTGGAAACATTTTCACAACACAAATCATATCATAAATTATCTCATCATTACTTCTCTCCTATTTATGGCCATACATGCAGCCAGGCAGAAAGAGACCTTGGGAGTGTGGAGAGACAGGAGCTGAGCAGGAGCCACAGTGTGCTCAGGGGCCAAGAAGGCCAATGGCATCCTGGGCTGGAGCAGGAACAGTGTGGTACGCAGGACCAGGAGGTGATTCTGCCCCTGCACTCGGTGCTGGTGAGGCCACACCTTGAATCCTGTGCTCAGCTCTGGGCCCTCAGCTCAGGAGGACATTGAGGGGCTGGAGCAGGTCCAGAGCAGAGCAACGAGGCTGGGGAAGGGACTGGAGCACAAGTGCCATGAGGAGAGGCTGAGGGAGCTGGGGGTGTTCAGCCTGGAGAAGAGGAGGCTCAGGGGAGACTCATCACCCTCTGCAACTCCCTGACAGGAGGTTGGAGTCAGGTGGGGGTTGGTCTCTGCTCCCAGGCAACAGCAGCAGGACAAGAGGGCACAGACTCAAGCTCTGCCAGGGGAGGGTTAGGTTGGAGATTAGGAAGAGATTTTTTCCAGAGAGAGTGCTCAGACATTGGAATGTGCTGCCCAGGGAGGTGGTGGATTCACCATCCCTGGAGGTTTTCAAGCTGAGACTGGATGTGGCACTTAGTGCCATGGGCTAGTGACCACAGTAGAGTTGGATTGGTGATCTTGGAGGTCTTTTCCAACCTGGTTGGTTCTATGATTCTATGCTCTACTCTCCCTCTCTCCACTCATGAACAGACACTAAACCTCTGGTTTATGTAACACAGAAATATCAGAAATACAAATGGATTTTCAAAAAAAGTTTACTCTCTGCCTTCAAAATAAATTTATTCCAAAACCACAGGAGACTCTCGATCATAGAATGACAGAGTTTCCTGAGTTGGAAGGGACCCACAAGGATCATCAAAGCCCAACTCTTGGCACTGATGCTAAGTTTTTCTGAAAATCTATCCCTTCATGTATTTCTAATGTAACAGTGAAGATGGAAACTGGAAAAGCAACCAAAAGGCTGCAAAACCAGCTCAGTGCAGACCACAGAGCTGCCCCACAGACAACTAGTGGGTCATGGACAACAGTTTGGAAAGTGATGCTTTAAGAGAAACTGAAGCCAAATAAGAGGTATTTAAAGCATAAGCAAGTCTCAGACTCTACAGACAATTCCATGTGTCCCTGTTTGTGCCATTAAACATACAAACCAGCATTTTAAACAACTGCAATTGCATAGTTTAGCATTTGAAATGGTGGAAGCTAACTAGGCTTTTTATGGCTTTCTCTGGCATCTAATGCCATTAGTGAGAATTCAGTTATGCAAAGTAGAGGCTCATCAACAGCCAATCTGGTCATTTATACTTGAACACAGGAAAAATTACATACTAGAGTAGCAAAGATGATGGTGCTAGAATCCCTCAATAGCAGACTTTTAGGTAAAGTTAACAAATAAACAATCTTATCTATTCATCTTCTAAGGGAATAGTAGTATCTCCTCATTCACCACTAACTACTGCCTTGACAACTAACACCCTTTCTGCCTGCTGGGAGAGTTTTAACTAGTAATGTAAAAATATGAGTAAAGCCAAGTGCAGCATCTGAACAAAGAAACCAGGATTTGAGTTGTGTGACTCCATGGGATACTCTGCTCCCAGCACTGCTGACCACAGTGCATAGGGGAGGTCATTCCCATCACTCTCCAGAAACCACTGTGGCCAGCTGAAGGAACAGCCTTGACAGGCTGGAAAAAGTCATGTAATACTGTACATAGTCATTACAGTGGAGAGAATTGGGAAAGGAAAATGAGAATGATCTCCACCAGAGCCCTAATTCAGTTCTCAAGCAGAAGATTAAGTAGTGTAAGCATGAAATTGGGGGAAATTAGTCAGGGTATGTGGCTTTTCTAGATAGCCTTTTTTTTTGCTTGGTTTTGTCCAGTTCCTATGGAAATGAGCATTTTGGCTGGGAATTCATCAAACCAAAGTGTAACACACACACTTCAAAAAACACTGGTTACACTAGGGCTTGGACAGATTCAGTTACACAAGTGTTTTCTCCTGCATTAAAAGTGACCTAAGGAAGCACAAGATGGTTCATCTCAGCACAGTCCTACTGGACTACATTGGAATAACTGCAGGACTCCTTAAATTGCTGGCAGAGAGCAAACCTCATTCCAAGCAGTTCAGGTGAAATGGCAAAGGGCATTAAGCCTACAGGAATGTCCATTCAAAATTATCCCCATAAAGAGTCGTTGTCACTCCAATTCCTCCATCCTCACAACCTTTGGGTTCAAATTGAAGGAGGGGAAGTTTAGGTTAGATATTAAAGTTTTTTTCATGTGAGGGTGGTATGGTGAGACAACAGGTTGCCCAGGGACATGGTGGCTGTGCCAATCCTGGTGATGTTCAATCCAGGCTGGATGAGCCTTGAGCAACCTGCTCTGGTGGGAGGTGTCCCTGCCCAGGGCAGGGGTTGGGACTAGATGATCTGTAAGGTCCATTCCAACCCTTAATTCTATGATTCTATGATTGATTCTTGCACATCCCATTTTTACAGCAGTACAGTGTAGTCTCCACCACCTTTCACTGGCCTATGCTCTCAGTATTTGGGGTTTTGTAAAGAAAAATACCATTTCTTATCATCTGAACCCTTTAACTCCTCAGCACCCCATCCAGGAAACAATCAGTGCCTGCAGTAAAGTCTCTGTGTACCACTAACTTTGCAGAGTTTCCTTCTTGCAATGGGTTTTTCTTCAGGTTTTCTACCCATAGTATGTTTCCTAATTACTTAATTGCATGATAGACTAAAATGGCTCTGAAGGTACCTTGCCAATCTCTCAGGTAAATTAGACAGTGCCATTATCTAAATTCACTTTAGCAAAATTACTTCATTCTCTCCTCAAATGGAAATACTGTCAAAAGCATTGCACATTCCTCATACTTACGTCGATTCCAGCACAGATGTTCTATTTCCTCTTAAAAGAGACGTGAGCAAGTTCTCTTCTGTTTCATGTTCACTCATTCCTATTCTGCCCAAGTGTTTGGCAGTTGTATCATGCTCAAATTGAGGCTTAATTGGACTCCTATAATGTCTGTCTTTGCAGAAACTCTCTGAATAGCCTGATGGAGTTATCTGTTAAAAAATTGCAAACATTGTCTTATTACACAGGTATGTAATGTTCTATTAAATTCAGGGCTGTAATCTCTTTGTAATCAGGTTTTGTAATTCCTGATGCTCTTTATCTGCATTAAGAAGCATCCACAGACATTTCGCTGACTATTTATTAATAGAAAAACTAATTAACATCTATTCCATATGATTAATTCATAGTGATCAGTTGTTTAGTAAGGAATAAGAAGATTTCCCTGAAGGTCTTTATCTATGAAGAGGTATGAAACTTCTGGAATGTTGCCTGCAGACTGCAGCTAACATTTTATTAGTTCAGCTTTGAATTATCTGTATTTACAGTGCAAACTCTGTCCTGGGATCTCCCACTGCAAACCCTCATGGCCAGGACAGGATGCAATGGGAAGTATTTACAGCCTTTTTGTATGCAACACCCTAGAAGAGTCAAAGGAAATTTCTACCTGGGATCTCTCCAGTCATTCAAACTCCATTTAAACAATCAAAGTCTGTATCAATCACGTGAGAATTCAGTCTGGGCCCATTTGGATACAATTTCCATCAGCAGCAAGAGGTGAAGGTGTTTAAGAGCCAAGAGAATCTTTGTAGTACATCACTCACCTGTTTATCCACCTCACAAGGGAAATCCAAAGATACTTGAAGGCATACCTGGTAAATAAGCAGAGAAATTACAAATTACATCACTGTTCTTCAATATTCCTAACCAAAATGTCTCACTTTATGTCTATTTTAGCATGTTACAACTCTGAAACCAAAAAAGTTCAACTTTAGTTGCACTCAGTGACCCTCTGAAGTCCCTTGCAACCTGAATTTTTTATGATTCCATGGTGCTTTATTATTACACCAACTAGAATAAGAGGACAACAGGTTCCTGTGTGTATGATAATGGAGTCTAAAGTTACCAAGACATCAAGTAATCCAACCTTGAAGAAGGATCTTTTTTCTCAATCTCAACAGCAAGTGAATCTCGTGCAATCTGTACTATAGGCCTGAGTGCAATGGAGGCAGAAAAATCAGTATATGTGTGTGTAAACCAACACAATTTCAAGAGACTCTGTCCTCCTCATCCAGGATGACAATGAGTACTGGAACAAGAGAAACAAGGAGCAGAATGAAAGGTGTTCTGACTGCAAAGCCCTAGGAGCAGAAAAACACAGGAAAATCTATCCTATCTTTAGGATAACAATTAGTTGAAAGCAAATATACCAAGGAAAACGTTTTGTTTGCAAAGGACTTTGTGTTCTAAGAAGTATGAAATTTTAAAGGCATGCAGAGAAGAGAGCACTGTAACATAATGTACCCTGAGCACAGTCCTACCTGACTGACCCTGTCACAAAACTGACTGTTCTGCATCTTCCTGCCATTGTCACCATCTTCAGTCTGCAGCACAGGCTCCTCTGTTATTTCAAGACACTACACAAAGTATGGAATGACGTGAAAATGTAGCACAAAAAAAAAATTACTGTGATATGAAACATGCATAAATAAGTCAGTGACATGTCTTAAAAGAAAAATAAAAAAAAGCCTGTAATACAAAGTAACAAACACTGAATTAGATTTCTTCAACAGGATCAGAGAAAATTAATATATATACCCCAGGAATGACTCAGATCAAATAGAGTGAACCTTTATCTTGTGCATGCCTTCGTTTTTATTTAACCCTTTCTTCTCAGAATTTATAAAACCAGTTAACCTTTTGTGGCAAAGGACCTCTGTATGTATCCTCAGTTGTGTTCTCATTGTGCCTGTTTTACTTCCCAATTTCCAGGATTTATTTTCATTTGCTACACAATTTAGGCTCTTCTCCAGCATCTAAGAAATAGATGCTTTTAAAACTAAGCACATGTGGCTTGCTGTACACTAAAAAGATTTACTGAAGGTTACAATCTGCTGTGTCTTGCCTAAATTTGCCCATTTGTAGCAAACGGTGCCAAATCATCTTTTACTCTCTGTTTTCCACAGGACCCAATACCTCTCTCATCACTAATATTGCCTGAGCAAGGAGGAGGAGGAGGACTCAGCTTTTTTAGGAGCAGAACTCAAGTTCCTGACATCAGCATTACTGACAGCTAGGCCAGAACCACTTTGTTTTGCTGGATGTTACATCCTGGTACAAGAGAGGAGATCACAGAATCATAGAATCAACTGGGTTGGAAAAGATCATCAAGTCCAACCCTACTGTGGTCACTAGACCATGGCACTAAGTGCCACATCCAGTCTCACCTTGAAAACCTCCAGGGATGGGGAATCCACCACCTCCCTGGGCAGCACATTCCAATGTCTGATCACTCTCTCTGGAAAAAATCTCTTCCTAATATCCAACCTAACCCTCCCCTGGCAGAGCTTGAGTCTGTGCCCTCTTGTCCTGCTGCTGGTTGCAGAACTGCTGCCCCAGGATCACATGCTGGAAAGTTCTGGCTCACTGCACATCAGTCCCATTGCAGATAAACAGGATTCTGTGAGCAGAGTTATTTCTGCTTCCTAAGAACACTGGGAATGGAATGCATGTGTGGGGTTTGATTTTTTAATTGAGTATGCATAGAATATATGTGTATATATATGTACATGAAATTAATGAGAAAAACCTTTTTATCTCCCAATCCCTTGCAGTATAAGCAACTCTAATGGCTTTAAGTATGAATTTTAAAAGGCAGAAACCGGATGGTGCAGCATATTAATATATTTGCCTTTTACAATTAGAAATCTATATGGAAAAACTGTTCCCAGGCCAGTATTTGGTTTAATAAGTGAAGATTCTTAGAATGAAACTACTAGGTAACTCCAACAGGTTATAAATATACTGTTACAACAAACTGCAGGTTGAGCCTGGTCCTATGGTCCTGTGCCTGAGAGGCTGAACAGAAACTTTCTGTGCTCCAAGGAATACAATCTAATGTGCAACAGAATATTAAAAGAAGGTAAGTGTCTTAAGGCCAGAAAAATAAGTCTACCAAGAATAAGTTGCCTGTTTTAAAGTATTTCCTTGGAGACTAAAAACCTGGAGAATGTTTTTCCTAAATGAACCACTGATATGCTTGGTTTGCAGAGCTCCCCAGAGCCCTGGAGGCTGGAATCACTGGGGCTGCTTCTCTCTGAGAAAGCAGATGTTCAGAGGACAGTGCAAAAACAACCTTTTCCTCTCCTCCTGCTCCCTCCCAGCATGAACACGAAGCCAAGAAGCAGAGGACTAGATGCTGTCAGGCCCTGCAGAGGCACCAACATGCACATTCATCTGATTTGTGCTCCAGCTTTGGGAAAGAAAAGGATGGGAACATTTTAAGAACCCAAGAAAGATACATCTTCCTGTGTCTGTCCAAATTCCTCTCAAAACACATATGTTACTGCCATCCCAGCACTACCTGCCAACAAAGTCTAGCTCAAAACCCACACAAAAACAGAACATAGGGAGGGCTGACAGTGGTTATTAATATGCTAAACACACTGTTGTCACAATCCATAACCTGAAATCCAGGTTGTTATTTCCTGCCAAGACTGATAAAATGATACCTTTTAAACGAATAACTTTTAACTAAAAATCATAGAATCATAGAATCAACCTGGTTGGAAAAGACCTCCAAGATCACCAGTCCAACCCTACTGTGGTCACTAGCCCATGGCACTAAGTGCCACATCCAGTCTCAGCTTGAAACCCTCCAGGGATGGGGAATCCACCCCCTCCCTGGGCAGCACATTCCAATGTCTGAGCACTCTCTCTGGAAAAAATCTCTTCCTAATCTCCAACCTAACCCTCCCCTGGCAGAGCTTGAGTCTGTGCCCTCTTGTCCTGCTGCTGTTGCCTGGGAGCAGAGACCAACCCCCCCCTGACTCCAACCTCCTGTCAGGGAGTTGCAGAGGGGGATGAGGTCTCCCCTGAGCCTCCTCTTCTCCAGGCTGAACATCCCCAGCTCCCTCAGCCTCTCCTCATGGCACTTGTGCTCAGTCCCTTCCCCAGCCTCGCTGCTCTGCTCTGGACCTGCTCCAGCCCCTCAATATCCTCCTGAACTGATCCTCTCACTTTTGAGCTCCATAGTACTATTGCCACTCTGGCACAGCTTCAAATATTCTATTTCTAATATTTCCCTCTCCTATTTCCTTTCACAGAATTTTGAGGTTTATTCCTATTTTCCAAACTTTAGTATTTGTCAATATACATCTAATCTCTTCTTCGGTGAGTAGCTCTGTACTGAAGCAGGAGCACACAGGATCCTGTCACCATCATCCCAGCACAGGACAGGAATTCCTCTGGAATTAACTGCGGCATCCATGGGGATGCATCACCCTCTGCAGGATAATGAGCCAAACTGCTCCTATGGACTCTGGGAAGCGCAGGCACTCGGAAAGGGATTGCCCAGGAGCTCTGGATGCTACTGACAAGAAAAGACATTATTTCAATAAAACCGTGGCACTCCTGGAGGTCTATTTCTAATTTAAAACACATCTCAATTAAAGGCAGCCTGAGTATGCCTTAAAACTGTAAAAGCAACAATATTTGGTGAGTGCTGCTGATTGTCCCAGACATGAGCCTTTTCCCAAGTCCTGCCGAAAAACCATCGACAGCACAGCCCCAGTTCTTGAATCAGGCAGTTCCTACATGTAACTGCCTCAAAAATATTCCCAATCTTGTTCTTTTAATCCCGAAATTCAAGGCACAACATACCAGCACCATCACTACTCCTTTCACATTTTTCCCTTCCTGTTCATTCTGCACAACAGCAGAACTGACAGCAAAATCCACAACAGAATACAAAGACAAGCACTGCCAGCCACACTTCAAGTCACATTTTCCTTCCAAGCTGGAAGGGTCACTAGAATCTCCCAGAGCCTCCTGAACACCCTTCACCACTCACACATAGTAACAGCACCCAAAATGCTTCTCAGTGAAGTATTTTGCCAAACCTCTTCTTCCCCACAGCTAAAAACAGACTCAGCTTTGGGGAAAGGAATGAAAACCTCCAGCAAGGATTATTTCCTTGCACCTCTCATCAAACTACCACAGTGCTGGCCCCCTCATCTACAGCCACACATTTAGGGGACCTGAAGTGCTGTTCTCTTTCCTGGCTACAATGAACTCTCATTGTTTTGTAGATACAAAGGAGAACTGAACTAAGCTCTTACAGAATCAGACCCAACATGAGAATGACTCTGCAACAACAAACAGCCTTTCAGTAGTAACTAAAATGTTGTACATTTTTTTCTTTGTAAAATTAACTATTTCCTTCCTTTTCGATTGACAAAACAGACAGATCATAGACCCTGTGATCAATATTTAAATGAGCATGTTGTTTCCTTAAAACCAACTTGACACATCACCGAGCACTTGCACTGAGCTGATTCTCTGTTGTGCTAACATGTTAAAGTTGTTTACATCATTAATTTAAACAGTTATCATAAGGAATTAGCCACCTCAGCCCCAAGGGCCTCACACTCAGTCTGCACTGATGTGAGTGACTCCACAAGGTACATCAGATCAGAGTCAGACTCACTACTTTAAAACAACAACCCTACCTCTCTGTGGTTTAGTATTTTCAGTGCCTCCTTCCCTTGAGACTCTGCTGTACAACATCCAGACTGTCTTTGCTTAAGTTCTTGGTTAATTGTCTGCAGTTCCTTAACCATCAGCAGCAGGTCAGTCACCTAAACAACCAAAGGGAGAACAGCAAAACTGTTAACATCCAAACTAGCATGAAAATAAATGAGGATCTATAAATCACCAGCAAAATCCAAACTGGGGAGATGGAAAGACTGAGTTTGTGTATCTGCTCATGAAGTTATCTCCCTGTGTATGGCAACAGATATGTATTTGTGAGTTAGTGTTCAAGGAATCTTACCCTGTAAGACTGTAGTTATTAAGCTCAGGTAACAAGTTTCAGAACTCAGTGGCAAGAGAAAACCTGAGGGTACCTCACACCAACTGCTGATTTGAGAAGAAATGTTTTAGTGCAAGAGAAAACAGCATTAGAGGGAAATGGCATTTGGAGACAACCTGCTCTCCTGTCTCCAAGCCCCTTTATGAGCCATTCTGAGCAGTTTCACAGGTACAGAATCTGAATGGACAGTCATGTGCAGAATTGCTGAACAGATATTAGGCACAAACCCATGTAGGGTATCAAGAAGGCAACACTTGCAGAAGGTTAAATGTTCAGATCAGCTTTCAGGCACACAAACCCTCTGTTCCAGTAAGAAATGATTTTCAAACATCTTCTGCTAATGAGCGTCCCTGAACCTCCTGAAGGGAATGTGCTCAGAGATAAAAGTGGTGTAACTCCAAAATGGCACTGGGACACAATCTGGGGCTTTTTTAGTGACACCTGTTCAGCATGAGGCAAATTTCCTTCCTTCAGATTACAACATGAGCACCTGCCTACAACTCAGCTGGCCCTGAGAAATATAAAACTTTGCTTCTGTTCACTCCCAACCAACCATAAGCAAAATAATTCCTTGTCATAAATTGGTGCATGGATCAGAGGTCACTGCACAGGATAAGAACAAGTTTCTGAGCTCCAGTACTGATTTATTGTTTGACAATGGTCTGCACCTTTCAACTCTGCGAGTTTCAGGTGTTCTTAGGTAGAATGGAAACACCATTAACTACCTCAGGGTTACTTTATAACACACCCTATTTACCAAAACAGTTACAAATCCTAGGATGGAGTGTGCTATGCAGAAGGATCAATTATAGACATCATCATTTTCATGGTTAATAAAGGTGCATGAAATACACATTGAAATACCCAACACACAAACTTCTCTTTGGAGCTGGTGTAGTTCATGATGCCTGAAATATGGCTTTGAGTCCAAAACCTGAGTCCAGCTGTCTAACTCCCAGAAAACCTTGGCAGGAAGCCACTCACCTTTCAGCTGATTCTGAAGCTCATGTGGTGTGACTAAATAGTCCATAAAAGGTGGGTCACAAACCACAGAGATGAGAATTTCACATCCTTTCAGAACTACCCAACTGTGCCTAAATAAATGTTTCTGTGAGAGATACAGCAACTATAATCAAAGCAGAATTAAGCCATTACAAACAGTAAATAATAAAACAGATCAATACCTTTTTCTTAAGTTCTTCAAGAGACAGATGGTCTATCCCTAAGCTTAAATGATCTTGCTCTCCTAAACAGATACTCATGTAAGATGTTTGATCTCCACAGAAAGACACTGTTTCATCTGCCAAAATAACCAAGGCCAGGCATTAGTTCAGAAACTATTTGCAGCAGAACAGAGCAGAAAACGCACAGACAGGACTTTTCCCTCAGAACCTTCCAGTAAGTCTGTGGGAGGCCAGTTAAAATGCTTCGTTCCTAAAATAAGCTTTCTGTCTAATTGAAAAAATGTTGTCCTCATATTTCTTTGTGCTGCTGACACACAGACATGCTGCAGTCTCTGTGGCTGCATTTTCTGTGGTTATCAGCACGGGCTGTGAGCGTAATTCTGAATTAGAATTTGCATATTTAGCACTGCAATTAGAAAGAATTTTAGGCAGGATAAGTTAGGCATGAACAGTTATTCTGGTTTAACTATATTTTTATGAACATGAACTCAAGGTCTCAAGGCAAAATGCCAGGTTAGACAAAGTTAATGAATTTATTTTGCTTTTGGGTTAAAAGATTGCAGTAATTGAATTGAAAATAGCTACTTATTAATTTCCTCTGTGACTGCAGGAATCACTTGTTATGTTTCAATAAACACCTGTTTATTTGCAATATAGATGACAATTAATTCTATAAATATAGCTCATTAGAGAGGGAGAAAGCATAACTAAATTAGGACAAAGAAGAGACAGCCAAATCCAACTCTCAGCTCTGACACAGATCCCAAACTCACAAATCATTCCTAATTTTCTTAGCCTTCATTCCCAGCAGCTTCACCCTCAACACAACCACTTGAGAACTCAGAAGTATCCACAAGACCCTCTGGCCCACCCTGGTTGTTCATCATCTCTGGGGTTTTGAGGTGAGGAACTCTGAAACAGCTGAAGTTTACCTTTTGTCACTTATCAGAGCTGTCAAGGGAGTGATGCTAAAATTGAAAAATCTAAGTTGAAAGGGGTAAGTGAACAGGCTTTATTGTTATTTATATATCCCCTATGGAATAAACCAGATACATCTTGTACATATGCACTAAACTATATTTAACAGTGCCCACTTAACATTATTCTTTTCTCTAAGTAGACACTAAAAACACCTCCCAAGATGTACAATAAAAAACTAGAAGCTAAGTTTTATTTAAAAGCTCTACTATTTCTGAATCACTAAATAAAAAAAAACCTCTGGCTATTTTTTCTTTCTCTGGAAATAGTTCTTCTGTTAGGAGGAGGTTAGACATTTTCTGAGACACAAGCTCCTTGGGAAGTAATTACATCCCATGGTCAGGAAGTGATCCCATGGCCACAGATTGATTCTGAGCCAGGAATCTCTGAGTTCTGTGGAAACAGTAAATTCTGTGGGTACGAAGCTGCAGGCAGAATGAAATGATCACTGCAGCAGAACTGCCATGGAATTCCTAACATTTGCTGCATGGAAAGAGAGAAGCTGTCCCTCTGTATATGCCCTGATTGCTCCAAGTCATTCTGTTACAAATCCCCCAAATCATCCTTGGTAGAGAAAGGCAAAAAGAAATCTTTTCACAGCCTTTCAACTCTCAAATATTTCTTCTCCATCACACTGACTATAATAAAACCAGTTTTCTTTCGTGCAAGAGGATCAGGCAGAGGGTTGGGCTGTACACAGATACAGACCTTGGCGGTTTTTCATGTCCTTAATCTGATCTTCTAAGATCTTCTGGAGATTCCTATTGCCTAAAACATCTTCTTCTAGTTGTTTTCTCAACATGAAAATGTTGTTCAGTTCCACCTGCAAGCTATTGATACTGAAAAAAATAAAAGGGGGGGAAGAAACCTTTGAGAGTCAATTCCAAACACTTTGCTGTGCACCTCAGCTTGTTTCATCCATCCAGGCTTTCACCAAGAGCCATTCCACATTCCCCAAGGCTGCATTTCATCCTACACTTACATCACTTTGATGCATAAACACAAACAAATCCCTACATAGGAAGAGGAGACTAAATGTTTACATCTACAGCCTTTTCCTGCTGTTTTGAGCTGTGCTGCTTCTAAGTCATCTTCCAAATGACACATCTCTTCTGCCAGACAACTCTGTGCAATTCTTTTCTAAGGAAAAATCAAAATTACTGAACTTCTGAAAAAGGAAGCCAGAAAAATATCATTATCACATAATGCTGATGGCTTTGTGTATCCCATTATGTGGTGACCATGGAAACTTGGTTCTCTTGCCACAGAGCTACTCTGTATAATCTAATGCTCCACTTAAGAAAAACATCCCAAAATCCTGTTTCATCGAAAATATGACCCAGACACAATTGTTTTATACCTTTATTTATCCATACAGTCTGGAAAAAGACTTTTTGAGGTCTGAATTGGCTCAATTGCCTAAATTATCTCAATGGGGCATAAATGGCAAAGCGCAGTAATTATCATCATAGAATCATAGAATTTTAGGGGTTGGAATGGACCTTACAGATCATCTAGTCCCACCCCCTGCCCTGGGCAGGGACACCTCACTAGATCAGGCTGCTCAAGGCTCATCCAGCCTGGCCCTGAACACTGCCAGGGTTGGGGCAGCCACAGCCTCCCTGGGCACCCTGGGACAGTGTCTCAACACCCTCAAAGGGAAAAAACCTTTTCCTCACATCCAACCTAGACTTTCCCTCCTTCACCCATTACTCCTTGTCCTATCATTGCAGTTCCTAACACAGAGTCCCTCTCTGGCTCCTTGTAGGCCCTTCAGAGAGTGAAAAGTTGCTCTGAGGTCTCCACACAACCTTCTCTTCTCCAGGCTGAACAGCCCCAACTCCCTCAGCCTGTCCTCACAGGGAGATGCTCCAGTGCTCTTAGCAACTTTGTGGCCTCCTCTGGACTTGCTCCAACAGTTCCATGTCCTTCTTATGCTGAGGACACCAGAGCTGTGTGCAGGATTCCAGGTGGGTCTCACCAGAGCAGAGCAGAGGGGAAGAATCACCTCCTTTGACCTGCTGCTCACACCCCTTTTGATGCAGCAGCAGATGATTTGTCAAGGTGAACTTTTTCTTTAAGCAGCTTTACCACTGAAGCTCTTCAACATCAGCCCCTCAGGATCTACCCCTTGCTAGATCTCCCCCACACCTTCAACTACATCGACCAGACAGTTCAAATCAGTGCATAAAAAGACTTAACAAGTGAGGAAAAACTCATTGTATTCTTTATTTTCACATTCACTTCACTCAGTGTTTTAAGACAAATTAAGCTGCTGTAGAATTTCCAATTCACTGCACCAAATGCCAGAGAATTCAGGAATCTTTGGGAAAAAAAGAATTAAATCCATCTTACGGATTATAGAGGAACACAGAGCATATCACACCTGCATGGGAGTAACAGTGTATTGTAGAAGCACCTTAATTAAAAGGCAGCATGTATGAAAAGCCTCTCAGCCTGTCTCCTGACAAGTGTGCTGTTGTCAGGGTTTCCTGCACAAGCTTTAACCAGTTCTCCCTCATACAAGAGCTTCTTTGAAGAAAGAACTCTCTTAAATGCTCAGAAAAAAAAAAAAATTAAGAGCAAAACCAAACCAACACATTACCAGGTAAGCACATTTTCTCCTTTTCATGACTTTAAGGGTTTAGAAGCAAAAGCATTGATTCCCTACCTGGAGAGACAAGGACTGTCTTGGTCCTGACACCCAGTAGCTTGTTTTGAAAAACAGCCACCCAGGTTGTTTAAAATAAATAATGCCTGAAAGAAGATATGTCAGCAAGAAAACAGATGTTTGCCTAAAATCCATGTCAATGCTGATGGCAATTAAATTCAGCTTCCTCATCTGTGGATCTGCAGGGCATGTCTAGCAGTTCCCCAGAACTTTGGGGGTTCAAGCCTTTCTTGATGAAATTTACAGCACATCTCAGTCAACAAAACTATGAGGAGGAGAAATAAGACCAACCTCCAAGTCCCTCTCTATCACTGAGCATCCTCTGCAATCGCAGCTAACACTCACTGCTCTGTGCATCCTGCAACTCCTCATCAGGAGCACAGAGCTAAGGATGCTGATTCTGCCCCTGCACTTGGTGCTGGTGAGGCCACACCTTGAATCCTGTGCTCAGCTCTGGGCCCTCAGCTCAGGAGGACATTGAGGGGCTGGAGCAGGTCCAGAGCAGAGCAGCAAGGCTGGGGAAGGGACTGGAGCACAAGTGGCATGAGGAGAGGCTGAGGGAGCTGGGGGTGTTCAGCCTGGAGAAGAGGAGGCTCAGGGGAGACCTTAGCACCCTCTGCAACTCCCTGACAGGAGGTTGGAGTCAGGTGGGGGTTGGTCTCTTCTCCCAGGCAACAGCAGCAGGACAAGAGGGCACAGACTCAAGCTCTGCCAGGGGAGGGTTAGGTTGGATATTAGGAAGAGATTTTTTCCAGAGAGAGTGATCAGACATTGGAATGTGCTGCCCAGGGAGGTGGTGGATTCCCCATCCCTGGAGGTTTTCAAGCTGAGACTGGATGTGGCACTTAGTGCCATGGTCCTGTAACCACAGTAGGGTTGGACTCGATCTTGGAGGTCTTTTCCAACCTGGTTCATTCTATTATCCTACAGAAGTTCATTGCAAAGCTCCTATGACCCTAATGATTCTCCCTACAGCTGTAAACTTTTTCATCTGAAAGACATTATAAGAAAAACTAACTTCAGAGTCACATTCCTTTGCTGTCATTAGCATAGAGAGTGCTGAAGCCACCTCACCCACAGAACGTGACTCAGTGATCCACAGTCTCCATACACAATTAAAACCAATCTCCATGATCTGACTTCTGCCACTACTGTTAATGACCAAGATTTTAGTACCTAAAGCAGCTCCTGAGCTGTGGCCAAGCATAAGCTGCCATTACTGCTAAGTGCTTAATCCACATACAGATCTACCCTAGTGCTACTCTCTTTATGGTTTCCAAACTGCAGAGCTCTATAAACCAACTGCAAAATACAAACACACATTCCCCAAGGCTGGCAGGTATAGGAATTGCCTTCAGGCAGGAAGAGTCAGGAGCTAGCTCTCAAGTGCTGTCAATACCTAATTAAGGTACTTGTAATTATAACAGGAAAAGTAAATTTTTTATAAAACACTTCAATTTGGTTCACCTTAAGGCTAAGAATTTATTTTATCACATCTCCTCCTCAACAACCAAGCAGGAGCAGGATACAAAATAGGCCACAGATTTCTCTCTCAAATGTTGTGTCCTTTGATTTTAAAAGATTAAAACCCACTTGATCCTGCCATACTTCTCCGTGCTTTACATTGAAAGTGGACTATGCAAACTTCAATTATTCTGTTTTGTTTAACCTTCTCCAAAATCTTACAGGTTTATATTCTTACCAAAATCTCAGGGTGTCACTTTTAAGATAAGGATTATCTGGATTTTAGGAGTAAACCATGACAAATGGTCCTGCACCTAAAGTTCACTGCAATTTGATTTTATTCCTGCATTCTAACACACAACACAAAATTGCTGAAACTCCAACTGCTTCTTTGGTACCCAAATGGAACTCTGGCTCATCTGAGATTCCAAACCAAACAGAAACATTTTCAGACACATTTACATAATTTAGATAACATAACATCACTTAGAAAAATACTTGAGACTTCTACAGCAAGTTTTGAACAACTGGTACAAAACAACTTCCAGTTAAACTGCACCTTTGCTTCACAACTTCTGACTTTTGCCTCTGAGTTTAGATTACTCTCAAAACAAAAGTACTTACCTATCTGATTCTTTGAAGGTCTTCACTAGTGTAGAATAAATATTTTGTTCTTTCCTCAAAGCAAGGATCAGCTTCTCATATTCAGCTTCCTTATTTTCCTAAATTGAAACAAGAACATGCTGAGCTTACAACATCATTTTTAAGTTTGCATGTCTACAACTCTGTGTGCACTTGTGTCCTCAGGCATTTGCGAAAGAAGTAGAAAACCAAATTTGCTGAACCTCCAACACGTAACATAGAATCATAGAATTTAGGGGTTGGAAAGGACCTTACAGATCATCTAGTCCCAACCCCCTGCCCTGGGCAGGGACAAATCCTCACTAGATCAGGTTGCTCAAGGCTCATCCAGCCTGGATTGAACATCTCCAGGATTGGCACAGCCACCACGTCCCTGGGCAACCTGGGACAGTGTCTCACCACTCTCATAGGGAAAAGCTTTTTTCTCACATCCTTCCTTCAGTTTGAACCCATTACCCCTTGTCCTGTCACTGCAGCTCCTAACCAAGAGTCCCTCTCTGACTCCCCTGGAGCCCCTTCAGATATTGAAAAGTGACTATGTGGTCTCCACACAACCTTCTCTTCTCCAGGCTGAGCAGCCCCAACTCCCTCAGCCTGTGCTCACAGGGAGATGCTCCAATCCTCTTAGCAACTTTGTGGCCTCCTCTGGACTTGCTCCACCAGTTCCATGTCCTTCTTCTGTTGAGGACACCAGAACTGCATACAGTATTCCAGGTGGGTCTCACCAGAGCAGAGGGGAAAAATCACCTCTTTTATCTACTGGCATTGATGGATCTGAAGACCATTGACCAGCTATTATTGAATGAGGCAAATACTATTTCACTATACCTACCATAAGTGATTCACAGACATTTTTCTCACAGTCTAAGAAGCTTCTCCCACCCCAGCCCAAGCATCCTCACTCCCAGAGTTCCAACAACCCAGGATCAACCCGGCAGGTAGCTGTTCCAGAGGAGGGAAGAGAGGGAAGGGAAAGTAGACGAGTCCAAGCTTCAAGTACATGTTTTAGAGCAAGTCCTCTCCATGTTCTGGAGAAAATTGGCTTTTTTGGGGCAAGGGGTTTCTGCAAATTCTGTTCCATGTCTCAGCAAGAAGGATTATAGTGAGCCACAGCCAAAGGATGAGCATGTCAGGCACTCTGATCCAGCACACTCAGTGGGTCACTGCAAGCTGCTCCTTCACTTGTGCAAGGAAAAGGTCATAGTTTACCTGCAGCCTCACTCACAGAAAGGCTATTATCACTATTACAGGAATAAACCCAGACTCTCACAGTACAGTCTCAGTAAGCATCCCCTAATTTCCTCAGACTCTTCACTCCAAAACAACCACACAGCCACTTTTTCAGCAGG